CTTTATATTTTGGTCTTTTAAGCTCCATATTTCCTTAGAGAGTTCTGTGTAATATCTATACTTAACTGATGCATATGATTTGAAACGGTTTGGGTATCTTAATTTAAGTGGTGTATAACTAAATATACTTTTTTATTAAGTTCATGACCACTAGAACTTTCGGTTGCTTGGTAGACAATAATGTTGGTCAAAAACTGGTTATTCAAAGAGCAAAATGCTTTATCTACGCAATTATAATGCTTGGTTTTTAATTAATTTTCATTGTGCAAAATTTTGAAATTATGCAAATTTATGATATACTTTCAGTTAGGCATGCAACTGTAGCTGATCTTAAAAGAATTTTGGTTGAAAATTTTATGTAGCTTGTGGCCAGCTGGAAAATGCAGGCCAATTAGAGCTAGAAAACAGTTTCATAATTTTGCTTTGATAAACAAGCTGAACAGAGAGTTGTACCAAATAATATTACATTAAGGATGTTTTTTTTGTTGATTTTGATTATTCGTGATTGGTAGGTAAGCTTTGTCTCAGATCCCAATTTATTTAAAGCTTCTTCATATGGTGGAGTAGCCTATTTGAAGACAGTTTCATTAACTGACACGGAAGATAATCTTTGTTCAATATTGCAAGGGATTGCTTTTATTATGCTTGCAAGGAGGTTAAAATTAGAATGGATATACCTCAATTGATTATCAGGTTTACAATATAGCTGGAATGTGTTGTTATTTAGGTTTAACGTAATATCAAGGTAATATCAATAATATAACTAGTAGTAAACAATTTTTATAATAGGTCAAATGGCAATTCAAAGAAAGTTTCTTTTAAAAATATTTGTTACATGCTTTTTGATTTTATCCATTTTCTGACTGTTTTGCTCTTAAATATGGCAAGACTGTCATTACAATATAGGCTGAAATCTTTTTTGTTAAAATGCTGTGAAACTTGATGCAGTATGAAAAAACCTATTAACTCGCAAACTTCACCACCATCAAATGCCCTTAATCACAACATTGAACAATTCGTCTCCTTTGTTAATCCACATTTTGTCATTATTAAAGATTAGGGATTTTCTTGCATGCTTTATCAATGCTTTGTCTTCACTTTTGATAACAATATGATGATCAGCAAAACTCATAGGATTGTTAAGGTTGTTTTCATTTATGAATAGGTAAAAATTGTTAACATCAAAAACTAGAAATTTGTATTAGTGTTTATTGGTGATTTTTTTAAACCAGGCTACAACATTTTATGTACTTTGCCATTGTGTCAAAATAAGTATATTTATTAAGTTCACAATTAATTTTTGTTAAAATTACTTTTATTATTATAATTTTTTTTGATAAAATTACTTTAATTCATCCTATCATCATTTTTTTAAGGGTTTAAAAGGCAGATGGGTAGTTAACAAAGTTTTCCTTGTGGTCTTTCAACGTGAAAAAACAGCGAAAAGATCCATTTATTTCAATTTTTTTCAAATTCTTCATACCATAAAGAATTTTAAAAAATTTGGTAATTCTTCGTGTAATCATCTTTAGATAGTTTATACATATACATTTTTTCAGTTTATACATATTGTCAGCTTGTGTTAGGGTTTCGTGAGATATACATACAGCTTTAATATCTTTTTTCATACCGTTTTGAAAAGTGTTACTAATGTCTCAAAGCTTTTTTGATTATATAAGATTAATTCTTTTTTGAAGAAATTCATTTCTTTTATTTGCGGTGGACATTAGGAGATTAAATTCTATAATTTTTATAACTGACATGGTCTTTATTTCTTGGATCATTATTAATAAAAAAGAAAGCTTTCCATCTCATTTACTTTAAGAGTAATTCCATTTTGTTCATTAATTTTAATTTAAAGTTACTTTCTGACAGTATTGATATGTTTTTTATTGAATAATTAAAGTTTAATTTTTCCATCACATTGACGACTTTAGTAGAGAGGCTTTTTTTTGTTTGTTTTGTCTTTTATTTAGCTTTGTTTATTATGTCTGAAGTCATTCAACAGTAATTTTTATGTTTTTGTGATGGTTTGTTTATGTTTTTTGTTTGTATTAGCGGCTGATGATTGCCTTCGGACATGAAACTTCGCTAATCAGTTGTTTTTATTTATATATATATATATATATATATATATATATATATATATATATATATATATATATATATATATATATATATATATATATATATATATATATATATATATATATATATATATATATATATATATATGTACATATAAACACATATACCCACATATATATATATATATATATCTATATCTATATATATATATACATATATATATATATATATATCTATATATATATATATATATATATATATATATATATATATATATATCTATATATATATATATCTATATCTATATATATATATATATATATATATATATATATATATATATATATATATATATATATATATATATATATATATATATATATATATATATGTATATATATATTTATATATACATACATACATACATACATACATACATATATTATAGAAAATACTTTATGACATAAATTTTTAAGTCTGTTAGCCTTCAGAATGTGGTTGCCTGCCATCTTTCTAATTTTTTTTTTAACACCTAAATGTAATGAATCTGATGGTTGTCAGCAAAAAGAGGACAGCTTGATGCGTGTTACTAAAACCGTAGTTAACATATGGGGAAAAACTTCAATTCCAATATTGTGTCAAACAAATAATATATAATACTTGTAGTTTCTAATTTCGACAAAGATAATAAATATAATAAAATATATAAATATCAAATATAATAATAAAATAATAAAAAATAAAAAATAATATAAAATATGAAAATAATAATATTGGTATAAATATGATAAAATGTTTGTAATTAACTTTCTTAGGTATAAAAAATTAGGCATAGAATTTTGAGAAGAAAGGTGTTCAAGCTAGGTTTCTGGAAATGAATCCTAAGGCCTTATATGTTCCTTGTGCAAACCATTCACTTAATCTTGCCATTGTTGATGGTGCATTGTTATCCATCAGTGATGGTGCACTGTCATTCATCACTGATGGATGACAGTGCACCATCCATATTTATACCAATATTATTATTTTTATATTTTATATTACTTTATTATTTCATTTACTGTGAGATATCCAAAGAAATTTTCAGAAATATTGATACCTACTCCAGGAGTTCATGTTACTGATTGCAGAATAATGCTCATAAAATCATCTTTCTAAATTGTATGGAAAATCAATTTCAATCTTTTTGAAACCGTGTTTAACAATGACTCACCTCTGTGCGTCAGAAACATCACCAGGCCACTCAGAAGGATCATCACTGACAAAAATAGGCGGAATTATTATGCCATTTTATGTAGACTCACATATTAACCTATCTGATTCTACTCTAGTATTCAAATAATGACAGAATTGTTTGTAGTTTCTGTTGGTATCGAAACACTTCCAGGTTGATCTGCTGGTTTCAAAAATTGTGTTAGTTTAGGGTAATTTGTGATTTCCTCCCTGGCTGCAGTTTGTTCTCTTCTCTTAGTGGCATCACTTTTCCCTTTTTTCATACCAATAATTATATCGGGAAAAACTAACTAAAGATAATTATAAATTTTTGCAAACCTTTTTTTGTTGTTTTTTTTAATGATATAAAAAACTAACAATGCATAATAATGATAAAAAAATAAATTCCAAATTGCAAAATAAAAGTCCATATGATTATGGACTTATAATCATATGGACTTTAAAATAAACAAATGTAAAGCGTTACAGTTTTCTAATCCTTTAAATTTGTTTCTTTAAAAACAATGCCTGTGATTTAATTAAAACAAATAATATACTTTTTATTTCATAGTACTAAAGCAAAAGTAATAACATACAGCCTAGTAATTAAATAATTATTAAGATAAATTGTGAATTACCGAAAATAAAAAACGATTTATAATTTATAAATAAATAACTTTGAAATATGTAATCTAAATACAAACATTTATATATTCGCATATAATCATAAAATAAGCAAATTAGAGTAATATTTTTTTTTCACACGATAGGCTGCTGTTTAATGCTGTTTAATTCTCATTAACAGTTTGACAGATTTTTATAAAGCTTGCGTTTTATAATAAAATTCAAACCTCAGGAGTGTTGAACAATTTTTTTTTGCATTAAAAATATGATTGCTTTTTTTACGCTTGCATAATTTAGATAATATTGTGATTAAAAAGCTAAGTTTTTTTATTAATAGTAACAGTAACAATATATATTTAATTATTTTTATTATAAAAAATTCAAAAAAGTTTTTTTTTACCTTTTGAAAAAGGCCCCTAAAAATGCTGCCCCCTCCCCCATTGGAGTGTGTGTAGGGGGGCCTAGCCACAGCTCTGACTTTAAAATATTATAGGGGTTAGTTGCAAATGGAAACTTCATTTATTTTTTGTGACTAAGTAAACAATTGAGACGAAACTTTTGTAGATTAAAAATAAAGTAAACATGATAAATAGCAATAGGATAATAATAAAAAAAAACCAATCAAAACTAAATTACATTAAAAATTTGAAAATATTTTCTTTTTAATTTTTTAGTCATTGATTTTATTGCATGCTACAAATATTTTGTATTGCATACTGCAAACATTCTGCTCTGCATACTGCAAACAATTTTGTTGCATACTGCAAACATTTTTTATTGCATGCTGAAAATATTTTTTTAATGCATACTGCAATCATCTAATAATTAATAAAAAATTTTTTAAAAATTTATTATTAAGTATTTCATTAACAACATTAACAATTCATTTAAGATATTTTTAATATAGAATGATTATTTTTGAAATGACAGCAAACCACTAATCAAAAAAACTACAGAAATTGCCATCTGAAAAAGCATCATTAAACATACTAAGAGTTTGGGTATGTACATTTGAAAGACAAAAAAACTTATTAAGATATGCTATTTATAAAATATAAATTTATGATAGTATATACCTTGCAGGTGGCTCAGAAACAAAAAAAGTCTTGTAAACACTATTGATTTTAGCAAATTCACCCATATCTGATACATAAAGATATATAAGAAATACATCTTGAAGACTTAATCCATTTTCTTGTAACAACACTGAAACAAAACTTTTTATTATTATTCACAAATATATATATAGCTTTTTATCGAGCTTATCTTTATATAACACTTTTATTTTATCTCCTACCTAAAAAAAAATGTTTCTAAATAGTTAATTAATTAGCAATAAAATAACATTATTAAATAAGATAAGTATAATCAAATTAAAAAAAAATTCAAAATTTTTTGATTTTAAACATCTTGATGAAAAATATTACAAAAAAATCAAAAATATATAAAAAAAACAAAAGTAATTTGTTTATTTTTTTAAATCTTTGAAAAAAATCATAAACTGTAAAAACATCAATAAAAAAAAATTGAATAATGAATGAAGCACAGAACTCAATAAATTTAAAGAAGTTTAAAGCAAAAAGTACAATTACACAATATTTTAACATTGTGTAATTTAAGTGACACAATGTTAAAACAACATACTATATTCAATGTAGAATATAGTATGTCGTGGTACAGAAAAACAAATTAAGAGTTTTTTTGTTTAAAAAAAAATTTTAAATTATGTTTATTTTTAACACAAAAAAGATAATGTATATTTTTAATATTAAAAATTTTCAAACCTAAGATTTTTGAAAACATAAAATTTTTATTGTAACATAATTATTAATTAATTTTTATTGTAACATAATTATTAATATAACTACAGTTAAAATATTTTAAGAAATTAAAATTCAGTTTTTGAATTAAATGTTTTTTGTTAATTTAAAAAAAGAAAGCAAAACAGAAAAATAAGGAGATTAATGAAAAATATAAGAAGATTAATGAACCTTTTATAAAGATCTTAAAGAAGTATGATCATGACTACACAACAAGATAAGGAGTTTGAACTTAAGTTTCGGACAGTAAGTGTTTGAATAAATTTAGCAGTTCATATGACAAAAAAAAACACTGAGACAGCTAAAAAAGTCCCTCCCAAAAATTAAAAAGACGGTACAAAGAATTGACACAACACAAAAAAAATTAGAGCTTGGGATGGACAAAATAAATTTGAAAATGATGTGGTCGCATTCGATAGTGAAATATGAAATAGAAATTCCATGAAAAGAAAGCACTGATTCTGAATATGAGTTATCCAAATCAAAAGTATTTATACTAATTTCAGAAATAATTAAAGCTTCTGTTGCTAGTGTTTGGTACAGAATTAGTGTTACACCCCATGTTGTTGTTATGGTATCTGCAATCTGCAATAAAGCTGGAGTTGATTTACACGAAATTATTATAGGAAAACCTAAAAACTCTTCACAGAAAAAAAATTATTAAAAACCACGGCAGTTTTTATTCACTGAAAAGATTAAGTATATTTGTATTAGTACCTTTATTATTTTAAATATTTTTTTGCTTTAGAAGAACCATTTAGGATAAGAAGCTTTAGAAGAAATACTTAGGATAAGAAGCTTTAGAAGAAACACTTAGGATCTTGGGAGTTTTTAAGGGAAAAAATAATTAGAAACATTTACGAGAGGAGACTACAAGATTTTCTATCAGCTCTGTATTTACTATCTTTGTAGACATAAATCTACTATAAAATTTCATCAGCCAGAAGCTTACTACAAAACATTTATTTGCTTAGATTAAAAATAACAACGAAATAATTCAAACAATAGAAATGAAAGAGTGAAAAAGATAGTTTAGACAGCTTGCTTATTTACTACTTTCAGTTTTTCAGAAGCTAAAAGATATTAAAGCACAAGGTTTTGATTTAGCAGTTTTTATTAATTTAAGTAAAGAATATCCTGAGCTACTCAATTACATAGAATGTAGAATAATGCTTGGTATTTAAATTATCAACTTCTTGTAATGGTATTATCTGATGGTGCTGAAGATCCTGGATAGGATCTAGTTGGTAAAAAATATTGTAACCAAAAAAAAACCTGAGAACATTTTTTTGATCCATATTATCTAAGATTCTTCATTCAGACAAGCCATTAATTATCAACTGTAAAAAGACCACTATAGTGTCAGTATAGTTTTTAAGAGGAAAAAATTTGTTAAGTTAGAGAAATAAATAAAATAATTCTATTGATGTGTAAAGTACCAGACAAAGTGGAAATTGTGATATCCAGTTATGGAAAAAAAATTGCCTACATAGCTAATCCAGGAAATGTTTTGTTGGTTATGATTGTAGACAAACAACCATTGCTAACAACAAATGCATTTCTGCATCATTTCCTAAAAACGGATAGTCATACAATCAAAAAGTTTAATCAACTTTTTTGCACTTAAGTTTTTAAAAATTAAACTTAGGTGGTTAAAAATTAACAAAAAACTTACGTTTTTAAAAAATAAAAATTTAAGTGCAACAAATTATATAGATTTGATCAGATTAATGTGACACTATAGTTATATTATACTTCCACTTTTTGCATTTCCATTGCTAACTTGTAATTTTTTATTGTTTAATTATAAGCTTTATTGTTAGATGCCAATGAAACCATTAAATCTTTTTACATGACTTAAATAACAATTACATTTATTCAATTAAATATTGAATTATATTTAAAATTTATAAATTTATAATTTTTACCAACTTTAAGTACTGTAGCATTTGTATTATTTAAAGAATTCTTTTCACTGAAACTGTTAAAGGAATAAAGGTATACTGCATAGTATGTTAATGACAGATTTAAAAATTAATGCAAGTAAAAACCAAATATTTTTTTTAACTTTAGTAGGCTCCTAAAGTTCCTAAAGTTTGAAATTTTTTTTTGATAATTTGTTTTTAGATTATCTTCTAGATAATCTCAGATGTAAAAATCCACCAGCCAATGTAAACCTATCATCTATACATATTATTATCTCATATTGTTTATTAGAAAGTCTGGGGTACAACATGGTTTCATTCTTAGTTTCCTTTTCGTTTCTTATCTAATAATTACTGGGTAATTCCATGTAAAAGAGGGAAAAAAAAGTTGAAAACTTTTCAGTCACCCTCTCAGATTTCTTTCAAATTTCAACCATTGGTACCTATCAATGTAACATGAAAAAAAATGTAAAGTTTCAGCTCCCAAATCTAAATGGTTCAAAAGTTATGACATTTTAAAATTTAGCCTAAAATACCTAATTTTTTTTCCACATCCGCCATTATGGACTTTGTAGTAGTACTTTTTAATGAATAATTTAAAATTTAGTGGAAGAATGTGGCTAAAAATTAGTACCTGACCATTTTTGAATGTGCTGAATTCAAAAATGTAAAGAAAGTAATGAAATTGAAATTTTTTGATGATTAATTTTTGATTTTAAAATGGTCAGTCAAATTTTTTGTTCTGTTACTATGGGTTGCGCTTTCATTAACTCTCAGAGTTGCTTAAGTCCCATGGATTCAATTTTTTTTCACAATGAAGTAGGTGAGCCTAGGCTATCTTTATAAAAAAGAGAGTTTTGGTTTCTTGAAGAATATTTTAGATATGTAATTTTTAAGCTTATATAAAAAATTCCTAATTTGGACTAAAATTAGGAAGATTTTTTAACAATAATTTATGTGTAAATAATTTAAGTTTTAGTGGAAAAAATTGACTGAAAATTGGTACCTGTCCCTTTTTGAAGATGTTGAATCCAAAGTAGAAAAGAAAATGCCCTAATTCAAAATGTTTGATAACTGTTTTTTATTTCAAAATGGTCAAAAATTACTTTACCATAAAACAAGGTAACGTTTTCTTTAATTCCATGGATTCAGTTGTCATGTAAAAACAGTTTTTTGAGGTTGGTTCTGTTACATAAATAAAGCTTTGTAAAGTGATGTAAAAATGTCATGTAAAAATATAGTTTTGTGACATCTGCTATGATGTATAAATATAGTTTTGTAACACTAGTTATGCCCTATAAATATAGTTTTGAAACACCAATAGTATAAAACATAAAAACTATTTTAATTTTAGATTAAATAATTCTTGAGTCTTATTTGGTAATTCAAATTGGGCTATCAATAATCAATGTCAAATCAACTAATTGTCTACATCATAAACATGTTTATTTGAAGCAATATGCAACTAAATTAACACGGTGCTGTAATCCAATAAATACTCATAACAAAGCTATAAAAGGTATTTATATTAATGAAAACCTTTTGTGAAAGTGTTGTGAGTTACATTAATAAAATTCTTGACCAAGTTCTATTTTAGCTATATTTAACTTTACTTTTAGCTGACTTTTGAAAGTTCACTATTAAATGCCATACGACTTTAAACTTTAAATGGTTTTAATGACATTTTTATACATACTAAAAAAGTTCTTTCCTTTTTTAAGCAGTCTTCGTGAAATCAACTTGGATACAGCAAGTACAATGCAGTAAAGGCAAATTTGTAGTACTAGGTGAAAAGCTTTGTCCACAATGCAGACATAAATTAGCATTAAGTGAAGAACCAGAAGAAAATAAGTTGGAGATAAAATTACCTGAAGACAATATGAAAAAAGAAATTATACTGAAATCAGCAAGATTGTTACTCAACAGGACTTTGTGTGAACTTGAAGTCCTCCAAAAGTTCATTTACCCAAATCCTCTAACTTATAACCAATATTTTGAAACAAAGCCTTCACTTGGAAAGAGAAAGATAAATCAAATTGAAGAAGCAGTTATTAAGAAACTTCCATCTGCTCTGGATGTCACTGAAACTGATTTAGTTGCACCAAACAACAATGAAGTTTAAAAAGAACTTCAAAACAAATCTGGAGATCTAGACTTTCTTGTTGAATGCATGAAAGAAAAGTTTCTAAAAGAAAGCAGCAACTTCAAATTTTGACATTGACCCTAAAATCTTGGTCTATCAGAAAAACAGCAAAAAAGTTTTCAGTTTCCAAACTGAAAATTTAAAATGCAAAGTTTTTACACAACCAAAAAAGCATCATAGCATACCCTGATGTGGTTGAACAGCATCAAATCAGCAAAGATTTTATAGAACTTGGTTTTTTACTGTGTCGATGAGTATTTAAGGCAAATGCCAGGAAAAAAAGAATGGGAAAAAAAAAATAAATGTCAAAAAAATTGA